AATAATGAGAAGAATGAGATGTGTTTGACGAGTGAATGTGTGAGAGTCGCGGCAACCATTCTGGAGCGGATGGACACAAGTGTTGATCCGTGCAATGATTTCTATATGTATTCGTGCGGAAACTTTATCCGTAATAATCCGGTGCCGGACGACCACTACCTCAAGAATTTGTTGCAAGAAATACAAGACGAGGTTTACTTTGAAATGAAAAACTATTTGGAAACACAACTCAATGATAGCGACGGAAAAGCAGTGAAACAAATAAAACTTTTATACAATTCGTGTATAAATGAGTCCAATTCTAACGACGAGAAAAAGGCGATAAATGCATTGTTGGGCTTATTTAATGATATGGGCGGACACTGGCCTCTCATTACAGATAACTATACTGACGATAGTATAATAGATTTAGAGCAACGATTATCATCATTATTTCTATATCAAGTGCAACCATTCTTCCAGCTCTACATCGAACCAATTCAATCAAACAAATCTCAATATGCAATACATGTAAGCAATTATTGTTGAAATTTAAACATGAGTTAATTAAGCCTCTAATTTCAGTTACTTTATGGTTCAACAGTTCTCGAATCCAGTTATTTATCAAATTTTGATCCAAATTCTGACTTTACAGACGAGATCAACGCCTATATTGACTTACAGTTAGAAATAGCCGTAATATTCTCCAAATTTAAAGGACTTGAAGAATCAGATTTAGATTTACAGTCACTTAGACGAGGAATCATCGAAATGGTCAGCTTAGAGACACATCTTTCAAAAGTAAGTTTACTGTTAAATATGTTCTGCACTTTTGTTATTAGAATAATATTAATATTATTTCAATTTCCAACTTAATTAATTAAATTCATTGTCTTTCTATAATGTTATAAACTATAATACATTTCTATATTAACTATTTTACAGATAACAAAGGATACAACGAGTGAACTAAACAATACATCTGTTAACGATAGTGTGGATGAATTGATGGTTACAAATGAAGACTATTATTCTCATTTGAATGCAACGAATACTCAAAATATGTTTCTCAGTATAACCATTGAAGAAATGGGGGATTTGTATAAATCAATTAAATGGAAAATATTATTCAATTCATTACTAAAAGAAGCGAATGTAGAGATAAATCAAATACTAATTAATAGCAGAGAATATCTGACACAACTCAACAAACTTATTGACAATTATTCTCCAAAAACAATAGATAACTACTTGTGCTGGACTTTTATAGCTCGCTATTTGCCTTATTTGGGCCCTCAGTTTCGCAGATTGTATTCGGAATTTCGATCTAAAGTTCCGGATATGTCAGTAGAATCGGGAGATTCAAGCGCTTCGTCCAGAATATTCTTATCGCGTTGGAAGGAATGCGTTCATGTGGTCAGTGAGGGCCTCGACGTACCCGCCATTTCTCTCTATCTCCAACACAAACGCAAAGCTTTGGATTTAATCACAAACAAAATTAATGATTTAATTAAACAAACGAAAGTTGCGTTTAATATAATAATAGATTCTCAGCAATGGTTAGACTCAACGATGAAAGATAATTTCAAAAGTCGTGTCAATTCTATTGAGAGCAAAATAGGAGTTCCTAAAGTTTTCACCAATCAATCAGAAGTGGATCTACTCTACGATACACTAGATCTTGATTATGAGGATATATTGGTAACAAATATATTCAAAATGGCCAGACATCAGGTGATACTTGAACTCAAAAAGTTAAACCGTTTGGTCGATCCCGAAGAGGAGTGGATTTTTCAGCCATTGATAGCAAACGCTTATTACGATCCCATCACTAACAATATCAGTGAGTGTTGTATTGTTTGTAATTAAAACCATGTTATATTAATATAGACCAAAAATCAAACGTTACAGTTATGCCGCCCGGAATATTACGATTCCCTTTGATTAGCTTTGAAAGACCCGGGTATTCATGAATAGTTACAATCATTATTTTCTAGAATATAATGTTAACTGTATTGTTTGCAATAGATATCTAGATTTTGCAACATTAGGTATTGTGATCGGACACGAAATCTCGCATTCAATGGGCACTGACTCCAGAAAGTTCATGCAATACACAAATGGCAGCAATTGGTGGACAACTGATGTCAACAGTCTATATAAAGAAAAGGCTAAATGCTTTGCACAACAATACTCTCAATATTTAATTGAATCAACCGATGAATATGTAATTAACCATAAATTTGAATGTTTACCACAATGTTGTATATTTTATTCACTTATAGCTTAACGGAAATCATACTCTCGAAGAAAATATCTGTGATTTTGCAGGTCTTCAACAGTCATACACGGCTTATAAGCTTAACAAAGATAATAAGTTTGAACAGTTGCCGGGACTTACAAACTATACTTCAGATCAACTATTTTTTATACAATACGCGCAGATTTGGTGTGAAGTAGTGAGCAATGAGGGCCACCGCAGAAGTCTTCTCGACGATCACAGCCCCGGAAGGTATCGCGCAAATGGAGGTAATCTATGATTCAAACAATTCTCCCATTCATTATGTTTCACATAATATTGAAGAAAATCTTATTTTTGATTTAAAGTTTTAGTGAATACGGAACAGTTCTCCAACGCTTTCATGTGTCCGATGGACTCAGCTATGAATCCAAGAGAGAAGTGCAGTGTTTGGCACTCAAACTATGTCTGATTCTTGTGAATACTGAGCCCAGTCTTCCCTCATTTGCCCAATCAATCTGACCATAGATTGAGTACAAAATCAGAGAATTATATCAATGTTAAGAATTTATGGATTACTGTATATTTCAATCGTTTGTTTCTTAACTTTTANTGATTGAATTGGTTCGATGTAGAGCTGGAAGAATGGTTGCACTTGATATAGAAATAATGATGATAATCGTTGCTCTAAATCTATTATACTATCGTCAGTATAGTTATCTGTAATGAGAGGCCAGTGTCCGCCCATATCATTAAATAAGCCCAACAATGCATTTATCGCCTTTTTCTCGTCGTTAGAATTGGACTCATTTATACACGAATTGTATAAAAGTTTTATTTGTTTCACTGCTTTTCCGTCGCTATCATTGAGTTGTGTTTCCAAATAGTTTTTCATTTCAAAGTAAACCTCGTCTTGTATTTCTTGCAACAAATTCTTGAGGTAGTGGTCGTCCGGCACCGGATTATTACGGATAAAGTTTCCGCACGAATACATATAGAAATCATTGCACGGATCAACACTTGTGTCCATCCGCTCCAGAATGGTTGCCGCGACTCTCACACATTCACTCGTCAAACACATCTCATTCTTCTCATTATTGTTTACCAAATTTATTTTACCCTCAATTGACACTAAATGATCAACAATTAAATATTCTTTACCACATGAATTAATTAGATTATATTATATAGTTTGCAATATTCTACATTTATATGCATTAATAATTTTTTAAAAGTTATTTTTTGCATTAAAATTTTATAATTAATTTGAATGTGAATATAAAATAATACTCACGGAATATGAAAGTAATAGTCATTAAAGTAATGAGAAACAAAAGAATTATTATTATAAATAGAGAGCATTTTTCAGATGCATTACTCCAACATCTATTTCAAGAGAAAGTGTCACTTAATTAACATGAATTTAATCCATAAATATATAATTACCTGAAACAACAATTTCCAGAAACGTTCACTTCTTCGGGCCATATATTGCTTGCGTTGACATTCTTGTGATCTCCTGTTTCAGAGCTCGAGGTCTTCATCACTCCATTTGAATCAATTAATTCTCAAATATACAACACTTGAGAATTATTTTGCCAATTATATGAACTAAACTGTCATTTATCTCATTGCTGTTCACTCTATTTCCTCATTAAAATCTCGCCTTCAGTTTTGTAACCAAAATAACGATTTATATCAATGTTTAGTTAAAATCCCAGAATCACAACAACGCGCATGACTTTTGGATGAGAATTATTATCATTTGAATCTTGAATTTCTGCTTCATTACGATTCTGTCGTTTTCACTACTAATTTAAATGTTTCTTATATTTCGCTCAAATCTAAATATTTATTAATTTTCAAAACTATTTCAAAATTTAATTTTCACAAACTATTCGTAATAACTTTTGTTAAAAATTTTATTAAAAATAAAAATTTTGTTTAATTAATAAATTCTTGTTCATGCAGTCATAGCTTAAAATAATTTAAATTTTTAATATGCAAATATTCTTAATAGTGCAATAGTACTTGCATTACTACTACCGTTATCTCTCACTTTAGGCCCCATGGGGTGTTATGTAAGTTTCTTAGAGAGGGTGGGGGCTTATCTAGGTAACACCCCATGCTATTTTGACTCAAAACAGGTCAAATGTTAATCAATGACAATTCATTAATACAGATGACTAAATGTTTTAAATAGAGATTGTTTTAATTGAAATGTATAATTTATCATTGAATTTGATAAATAAATGTAGTCATTGCTATTAATTTGAGATATCAACCCATGGGGTATTATGTCAATTTCTTAGAGGGGGTGGGGTACTACCTAAGTAACACCCCATGCTATTTTGAAGTATACCCGAGTCAGGGACCCCTCATTTAATACCCCATGGGGCCTAAAGTGAGAGAATACGGTATAAGTTATACAAACATTCTGAACAAATAATTAAATATTTATCAAAGTTATGATTAAATTTTATTTTTATATTTTTAAAAATATTATTTTTTATCATTTCTAATTATGAAAGTATTTAAATATAAACTTTTGATTATGCTATGATGTGAACTATTATTGTTACCGTATTGTAATTTGACAACTTTAGTCCATTATACTTACATACTATTAATTAACATTAAAAATCCTGAAACACGCATTATGTTATATTTCATAATAAATATTTTGATATATTATTTGTTAAAATTGATCAAGTAAATTTTGAGTTACACTACCTATCACGTGCCATAAAGATAATATGCAAAAGTTGTTGAGTTTTTGGTTTTCCCAAACTCATATAAAGAATGTGGTTTATAGACAATTATAGGATTGTTCATTTTATTCAGTAAATTGTATATTGTCTTTTATGGCAACATTTTTGAGCAGTTTTGTAGATAATAATATGGATCCAAACTCGAATGATTCGTTGAAAAGTTATAATCGATAAGAGCTTTAGTTAATTATACATTATTAATATCTGGCATACATTTACATGAATGCAAATAATTTAGTTAAAATAATATTTCAAAATTGAGAATATGATAATCTGTTTTTTGTCTATTAACTTAATTAAACATTTGAATATGTTTTCACTCAATACTAAAACTCGATTATACAATAAATTGCTGAATTCTGATGTGTAATAAAAATTTTATCACAATTTAATTCAATTTTATTAATACAGTATAAATAAACGACTTGAAAGACTCAATTGATAATTCAATTTATTTAGCATTGAAATGGATTTATTTATATAATAATTATATT